TCTCTAGCCGATGAAGCCCATGTTGCATTCTTTGCTTGGTGAATTGCCCTCTACAATGGGGCGGGGGGGGGGGTCCTTCCAAATCAGAATTGGCCCCCTCCTCCCAACCTGGCCCTTGCAGATTTGGGGGGGGGGAACAGTTGCCACTCCTGTTTCATGTTCTGCTTTGGGGCTTCCTGGGAACACGGGTGCAAGGCCGCTGTTTTCGCCTGGCACTTTTCACGTGCCTTGGGTGGCAAGGCCTATTCTCCCCAGCCTGGTGCAAAAGCTGGTTGGGGGTGATGAGAGTTGTAGTCCGACTTACGTGCAAGGTCTCAGGCTAAGGGAGCAGGCAGACTTCGAACTGATCTAGTGAATTTTTTTTTTTAATCAGTAATGCTCCCTACCCCCAGGTTAGGTTTGATCAGTGTTTCTCAACCTTGGTGGCTTGAAGATGTGTGAACTTCAACTCCCAGAATTCCCCAGCCAGCAAAGCAAAGTTGAAGTTCACACATCTTCAAGCCACCAAGGTTGAGAAACACTGAGCTTGATACACACAAGAAGGCTAGAGAAAAGCACCCATTTCTAGCATTTCTTTTAAACTTGCTTTGTCATTCCTAGCTCATTCCCATTTTGACCAAGGCCATCTGATCATGATTCTGCTTTCTCCCTTTCTATCCATCCATCCATCCATCCATCCATCCATCTCCCATCTCCGCTCTGAAGATTACAGCAATATATTTGAAAGTATGTTGGTGGTAAAACCTCCCAGAACGGGATCTTAGTCTTTGCATAGCTCCTTCCTTTTCCTTGTCTGTTAAAAACAGAATAATTAAACGTTCAAAGCAGCAAATAAGAATTCCAAGGTGGTTTGCCGACTCTGCATAATGTACGTATCTGTGCATGCATGCTGCAGGAGGCGTATTTCGGGGCACCAACAATATATTTCTCTGGCTTTGAAAAAGGAAAAGTTGATACCAATTGAATATGGAAAAAACACCACATCTGGGCACGGAACATACACTCTGCAATTAGGCTGTGCAGGGTCTGCTCAACAGATGTGTTGCAGGGAATCTGTTTTTCCAGCACTGATCTCCCCTCAGTCTGTCAGTCCCGAGCTGGCTTTGGCTGACACACACACACCCTCCCGCAAAACTAACCAGGCTCAGATCCAGTTAGTCCTGGGATGGGAGACCACCAGAAAACCCCAGGAGCGTAGGCTGGATTGGGAAGTAAAAAAGCAGACGTGTTCCGGATGAAAGCAGTCATAAATCCCATATCCGTGGAGCCATCAGCGGTCAAGATCGACTTGGAGGAGACTTGCCTGTTTTGACCCATTTTCAAAAATGAAATATTGTAGGGTTTCGCAACAATGAGAAACGAGAAGTAAGAATCTTCCACCAGCGCTGGATGCTTCCTTGCTGACGTTCATTTAGAAGCCAGGCTGCCAAATCCCACATTTCAAAGAAAAAAAAGGAGTCGGGCATCAGAAGTGGGCACGTTCACAACACCCTCACCAATCTGGGTACAGAATTAACCTGGTTTTCTGCATCGGCGCAATATACTGAGCCAAACAGCCAGGATTTACACACCACATTTCAGAGCAAAACATCCCACCCAACATTGGCATGTGGTGCCAAAATGCTGCCTTTAGGGTTTTCCCTGACTTGGGGAAGTGCCACCCAACCAAATTGGGAAGGGGCACGAGGCTCTCCAGCCTGCCCCAGTTAAAATCAGACCCTAAAGTGGAGGGGGAAGATTAAGTTGGTCTTTGAAACTAGTCTTCCCCAACCAAGTCTGCTCCAACTGGGTTGGACTACAACTCCCCAGAATTCCCAGCCAGTGTGGGCTTCTGGGAACTGTCAGCCCAGCACATTTGGAGGACAACTGGTTGCGGAACGCTCCTGTAAATAGATTACACTGCCACAATTACATCGGGAGTTTGTATTATTTTGGCTCAATCGGCAACCTATCCTAGATCCAGGCCCACAAACATTTTACAGGTAGTCCTCACTTAATGACCACAATTGGGACCAGAATTTAGGTTGCTAAACAATGCGGTCAAGTGACCAGACCTGATTTTACTACCTTTTTTGTGGTGGTCGTTAAGCGAATCATGCAGTTCCCCATTGATTTTGCTTGCTGGAAGCTGGCTGGGAAGGTCGCAAATGGCGATCATGTGACCATAGGGGCGCTGCAACAGTTGTAACAGCGAGGAACGGTCGTAAGTCACTTTTTAGCACTGTTGTAACTTCGGACAGTTGCTAAATGAACAGTCATTAAGCAAGGACTGCCTGTATTTCTTTTTCACCCCTGGGCTATACCTCCAGTCTGTTTGCCAACCAGCCCCTCTTGACCCTGTGAGCTTCTCCCCGCCCCACATCACCACCACCAAAAGCCTGCAAGATGCAACAGGCCACCTCCTGTTGTGTCCCAGATCGATGCTCTTCTCCTCCGTGGGCTGAATTCACCTTCTGCAAAAACACGATTCCCACTTCAGCAACTTGTGGGCATATCCCATAATATCCAAACAGCTCGCCAGCTCCTCCCATCACTCATTTCCAGGGAGCGATTGCAGCAAAGACGCTTCTGTTGACCGGGACACCCACCTGTGGTCTCCTCCCTTACAGCCCCAAGCTTCTCCCACCTGTCAGTCCTCGAGTTAAATAAATCACTGCGAAACTTGTGCCAAGAAACGTCTCAACTTTGCCTCTGTCCTCCAGCGGTCCCTGCAGTGCTGCTTGTGCGGGGGGCCAGATGTTCAGATTTCCCTTGCACTCCCCCCCAACCCTGCTGCAAGACGGCGGCCTCTTATTTCTGAAGCCCCGCAGAGCCCTTGGGGTTGCTATTCCTCCCGGTTGGTGCTGCACCGCCTGTGGAACTCCTGCCCGTATTCGTGGAACCACTTGTTGGCCACTGTTGAGAGATAAGGAAGATGAAGAAGGTGGAGGGGGGGCATGGACACATTGCACCCATTTGCAAAGTTTCCATCCAGTTAATTATCGTCACATAAATCAATATAAGGACTATTGAAACATGAACGACTCCCTATCACCTACTGCAGTGTGTTTCAGCCTTAGCGACTCTAAGATGTGTGGACTTCACCTCCCAGAATTCCCCAGCCAGCATGAGTTGAAGTCCACACATGCTGACTGGAGGATTCTGGGAGCTGACGTCCGCACGTGCTGGATGGGGAATTCTGGGAATATGCTCCGTGCAAACTAAGCTGGAAATCACCCACAACTATTTCTCCACCATCTTTTGAAATCAATATATCCTAAGAAATTGCACACGGACCCAGTCAAATAAACATTTCTGCCACGACGGACACACCTCTCTCCCTTTCACTCAGGCCAGTACTGAGGCCATGTACAAACTTTGCGGCATAAGTAAATTAAAACAAAATATTGGCAGGGCGTTATCAGGGGCCAGCCTCCTCGGCGCGGCATCGGATGGAGCCTGACCTCGTGGGCTTCTGAAGCACAGCTGGCAACGGGACCGGTTTCCCCACAGCTGCAGTGGGAAAGGTCCGTGGGGGCAACCCGCCTGCTTACCCCACTTGTCTCCGGCAAGGACCGGGCAGCCGGCGTGCAGCGTGGCTCCGTCCCCTTCCCCGTTCCTACGCAGGTTCCACCAGAAGAGCGCAGCGTTCTTGAGGAGAGACCAGAAAGCAAGATGCTAGGGGGGGGTCCACACGGAAGTGCCCCACAACCCAGGCTAGGCCATGCAAGGTGAGCAGGGGTTTCGAAAAAGTCAAGGTGGCCGCCGTGACCATGCCATCTTGACTTTTTTGACCCCAGCTGTAGACTCCCCCATGATGCCTGGAAGTATAGCCCTGCTTCCCCGGCATAACGATGCACATCTGCGCTGCTCCCAGATGGTGCCAGATGGTTGGCAAATCGATGCTTAATCTTTGCTTTTTTCTTGTAACCTACATATGCTTTGATCTAATCTCAGCTGGGAGCTCTGCCTGGGAGGGTGTGTGCGTATGGCTCTGGGTATGGTGATTCAAACCCTCGCGTGCCAGCATGGCAGCATCCATGGCTATATTCACCCAACACATGAGGTGGAAGCGGAGCATCGGTGGAAGACCTAATGGCCGAATTCACACAACGTGCCGCTTGGCTAACTTTGGGTACCTCAGGGTGTCGTGTGAACTCACGAGGTTAGTCTGTAAATCAGTGCATTGAGGGAACCCAGGAAATGGATTCACTGAATAGCTAGGTGAATAGCAGAATTGCCAAATAAGGTCACTATTACCCACCAAATGTACCCAGTTGCAATGGCACAAGGACAGCACCTCTCCCACCTGAGACACCTCAAGAAGTGTGGAATACAGCTCCCACAATCCCCCACCCGGCACCACCATTGCTAAGAATTCTGGGAGCTGAAGTCCACCCATCCAGAAGTCCCCTAGGTTGGAAAAGGTCAGGTTTCACCTTGTTCCAGCTTGCATAACGTCCTGGATGGCTCTTAGGATTTACACATTTGGACTTTCCCCAGAGCTGAACGCTCTCCACCCATCCTCAGTCAGCAGAAAACAAGAGATGACGTTGACGTCCCCCATTTTGTATCCTTCTCCTGGCTCAATTGCTGCTGTTCCCCATCATTTCAGTCTCCTGGTGTCTCTTTGGGAGAAGATAAGAGGTGGTGAACCAACAGAGGATGCTGCGGAGATGTGTCAGTCTATGGTAGCCAAGAATCAGGAGGCGTCTGGTTGCACCTCTTTGGAGGAACCAACGTTAAATGGCACCGGGCGGCACGTCCATACTTGCGGAGAGCGTGCAACCCAAGCCCACCCAACCTGAAGCGATCTTCAAGCAGAAAGAAACAACAGGACAATGATGCCAGCGTGGGAACCTGATCTTGCAGCAGACCCAGATGTCCACTTTGCCCCCACTTCCACGCCAACAGCACCATCACAGGCCCCAACAACTTCACACACAAGATTAGAGGCACCTTCACACGCTCCTCCTCTAAGGTGATATATGCCACCACCTGCCAGCCATTCCATGCAGGACAAACGGGACAAATGTTGTGCAAAGAAGTTAATGGACACGAGTCGAACATCAGGATTCAAAAGAAGGACCGAGTAAGACCAGAACAAATCTCCTTTTTTTACATGCACTGCATGGTTCCAATGGTTGGGGCTCCCATCTTGACTTTTTTGACTCCACACCCCCCCAGACAGACATCCTCTTGTTTTCAGTGGCCTGCTTCTCGAATGGATGCTCTATTGCTTTTAATTAATTAATTAATTCAATTTATAGGGCCGCCCTTCCCCAATACAGGACTCTTAGTGGCTAACTGAAAAACAAGATTAAAAACATCATTAAAAAAAAAAAAGCAATTTAAGACATAGCATTTCTACTAGCCTCAGAGAAACCACTGCTTCACACAACACACTGAACCAGGTCAGGTGAGGGTATCGCTTGGGATTAACAAATATTTTTGCAGGTTAGCGTGTTCCGTGAGCTAATCTGAGTGGTTTGCTTGTCTTTCAATGTATTATGTGATTTGAGAAAGCAGGTTAGTTTGATAACCAGGATGAATGGTTGTGAGAACGCAGCCACGGAACTGGAAGAGGCCCCTACTCACTGCAGAAATCCATATTAAATCTTTACTCAGAGATTACTTCCAGGGAAACTGGTTCCAGGGTCCAACTCTTCTTACTGTTAGGACATTGTTCCTAACTTTTCGTCAGAATGTGTCTTCCTGGATCTTAAACCCAGTATTCCTTGTCCTGCAGTTAGGAATGCTAGAATAACATCGTTTGCTCCCTAAGTAACGTCATTATCCAGTTTAACTTTTGCAAGTTGTTTTCTGCAGCTATTCTAGAGAGAAAGCGGAGGACCAAGTCAGATTTGACCACCGAGAAGAAAACCGGTTGGGAGAGGAAATGCAGACTGGAAGAGGGCTCACCTCAATAACTGGCACGCTCAGATTTGCGTAAATGAATGCGGTGGATCCTCCAGCTTCTACTGAACTCAGCTGAGCAAAAAGAGGCAGGAGAAAGGATGAATCTTGCCTTAGTGGCCCCTGTTACAGGGGGCTGCATCTTAATACAGTGTTCCTCAACCTTGTCAGCTTGGAGATGTGTGGACTTCAACTCCTGCTGTACGG